TTCTTATTTTTTTAAAAAATAGATATATTTCTATCCAAAACTATCCTCCCTCCAGCAAAGTAAACACTACTGGCAAAACTGATTGATCCCTCATCCCCTTGTAACCTGATCGCCACGTAGCCTGTAACCACATGGTGCAGTGGTTAAACTGCTGTACTGCAGTCAAGACTCTCCTCATGACTTGAGTTCAGTCCCTATGGGCTCAAGTAGCTGGCTCAAGGTCAACTCAGTGTTTCATCCTTCTGAGATCGGTAAACTGAGTGCCCAGCTCACTTGTTCTTTGCATAATTGCATTGCAGGGCATCCAGAGAGTGCTCTACTACTATGGGGTGATATATAAGTTGAAACAACAACAATCTTAAGTATTAGTCTATTGTTCATGTTTGTGCTTCTACGGCAGCAATGGCAAACCTAGAACACGTGCGCCACAACTGGCACGCAGAGCCCTCTCTGTGGGCACATAAGCCATAAGTCGCTGGATCGCTACCCCCGGCAGCCAATCCTGAGGAGGCAGCTGCAGCCACAGTGCTAGTGCCCCGAGAGGTGACGGGCCATGATCTCCTGAGGAGGCGGCTGCAGTCACAGTGCTAGCACCCCGAGAGGTGACGGGCCATGATCCAGAGCAGCTGGTGCTGGCGGGCCAACCAAGCTATAAGTAGTGGCAGGGTTGGGCATGACTGGAGGCTGATCTGGAGTGGGGTCTGGAGGCACCTCCGTGCCCGGGATTCCCAATTCCGCTGCCACTTCCGCCACTGCCACCTGCTGGGTTAGGGTTTTGTATTGTTTTCCCCCCCCCCAGTTTGGGCACTCAGGCTCAAAAAGTTTCGCCATCACTGTTCTAGGGCTTAGATTTCACGGGGGGGGGGGCAATGTATAGCCTGCATATTGTAAACTACTCAGAGAGTGCTAAGTACCTGTACTATGGAGTAGTACATGAGCAACACATTTTGGTTCTGTACCCTAATCCCCAAATATATTTGGATTGTCAGGAGATTATCTGGAAAACATTTAGGATATTCAGAGGCATGTGGAATGGAGAATGTAGATAACTGCTGTTTTATTGATCAGTTGTTTAAACACTTACCAGAGACAGCCTCAAGGAGAGCACATGGTGTTAATATGAGCTAGAGAAAATTCAAAAGTGTAAGCCTGTCGGAAACAATACCTTCCTCATCTACAAATCTACCAGGAGCCTGAAGATTATCTAGAGCTGCTCCTTCTCCCTGTTTTACTAAAACATTTGTGGGTTTTTTAGGGGCTAGAGAGGGGGCTTTTCCAGGGTCTAAATTTCCTTCTGAACAGGGGTGGTTTCCAGATTGGGGGAGGGAAACACAACCTCTGCTCTGGGTCAAATTCATAAGCCACCTATACTTCTGAAGAATAGAAGATATTGGTTTGAACATATCAAAACCACAACCAGCTCATGGGAAACTCAACTTCAATTAATTCTGTTAGTTTTTTTCTATTTTAAAAAAGAGAAATGGTTAAGCTAATGTTGGAGTATCAGTCCTTTTGGTGGTCACCTCGGACACAGTGAGAGAAAACAAGAGATATAAAATGTCTCACCATATCTGAACTATTATGACCACTGTGTACTTAACAAGGTTTGTCTTATCTAGAGATGGGAAGACCTACAAAAAAAGGTAAAAGGGGGTGTTTCACCATTTTTTCCCAAACCCATTTTTTCCTGGAAAAACTGGGGGGGAAGGAGTGTGAAATATGTTCTTTTACAATACCCCCAAAGCCATTTTTTTCTGGAAAAACTGGGGGGGGGGAAAGGAGTGTGAAATATGTTCTTTTACAATAAGCAATATGTTTATAGCATGGTATTCAAGCTATATATATTTTTATATAGCTTGAATACTATGACATAAACATATTATCATTTATATATTAAAGTCTTTATGATCTCTTTATCTCTCTCTCTCTCTCATAAAGACTAACGAAAGACTTCTGAGACTTTATGTATTTAAGACTCTTACCAGCAGGTGGCAATCTTGTATCAAGTAAATATGCAGAAGCTAAAATATAAATCAATTGTGACAGGGCCTTTTTAATTTGGATCTAGTTAGCATACAGTGGGTTGGTGTCCAATGAGATAGAACAAACCAGGCGTCTTTATTTCATATCTAGCTCACAGTTCAAGGTCAAATGTACACAAACTTTCCTATAAAGGCCTCTTTCAGATGGCAGCAGTCTTAATTGAATAGGCTGACAATTCGCTTATTCATGGTATGACATCCATGGCCTATTTGTACATTTATTCTGAAGTACTTTCTGCCATGTCTCATGGGGCTTGCTCTCAGAACGTCACATTTCACCGTGATGGTTTCAAGTGAGCTCTGTGGCACAGTTGGTCAAACTGCAGTACTGTAGTCAAGTCTCTGCTCAGGACCTGCATTTTATTCCAGTGGGTTCAGGTAGCCAGTTCAAAGCTGTCTCCGTCTTCCATCCTTCTGAGTAAATTGAGTACCTAGCTCAAGGGAGAGGGGAGAGTTCCTTGCATAATTACATTGTAAACCACCTAGCATGAAGGGGCAGTATATACCGTAAGTCAAAACACCAACCTTAAGTATTAGTCTATTGCTCATCTTTGTGCCTTTGGGACTTAGATTTCTATATAGAAATGTATATGTAGAAATTTCCAAGGTGGTCTCCATAGTAGACTTAGTAATATTATGTGCAATTAAGTGGTTTCCAACTTATGTTGATCCTAACAGGGTTTACAAGGTATGTAAGATATTCAAGGAGTGGCTCCCCATTGCTAGCCCCAAGTGAGTCTTGATTACTGAGCAAGAATCTGAACCCAGATCTTCTGGGTTCTACTTGAATGCTCTCTCTGCTATATCGCACTGGGTCTGATAGTAGTCTTATATTTTAAAAGTCCACCTCATTCTTAATGGCTGAAAGAAAATGAATCTTAAGGCCTCTGTATTTCTACCACATGGTGAGAATATTATGTCTCAGAGAGAAGCATCTTTGCTAGAGGGTAATGAGGAGATAATTATTTTGTTCTGTATAATTATCCCTCCTCCATGGCTTATATAGTTGTTTTGCTTTCATCATACCCAGTCTTTATTGCTCAAATACTCTGCTCCACCTAGTCTTCTTTTTCTCTTTCAAAAATTAAATTACCTGAAGCTTTTCAAAGTGACATTAAGAGTGGACTAAACAAACCTCAAATATATATATATATATATATCACTTTTTGGACTACAGTTTCTCGAATTCCTCAGGCAGCACAAGGGACTGAAGAATCCTGGGAGTTGTAGTCAAAAGAAAGGAAGGAACTTTTCCAAATTTTGCCTGGAAAATTTCCTCCACAATACTGTCATCTTTTCTCAAAAGCTGGGAAGACTTTGATGGTCTGTTTACTTAAAAATAAAAAGAAGAACTCCAAAATAAGGCTCTTGTCTGTCCACACCATACATGCTTATTAACCTGTAACGTAAAACGGCGTGTAAATTTAAAGCAAACTGCAAGCAGGAGGGGAAAGTATTTTAATTGAAAAGTTATATTTAGCCAACAGAGGCTGGATACTCAAATACAATACTGAGTAAAGAGAATGATATGAGCATTGCTTGTGAAAACAATAATTTGGTGGCACCGCAAAATAACACATGCAAGGTACCACAAGACACTTGTTCTTACTGCAACCAATATGCTGCTACTCCTCCAGAATTTTGCAAAATGGCTCTCCTCTGCCTTTCCTCCTAAATCAGAATACTGACACTTGACTTTTCCCCAAACTAGCTGGCATTTGAAGATGTTTTCACACCTAAGGCTCACATAAGACTCCCTCCCTTCCTAGAGTCTATAATATTACTACTCTGAATCTAAAAGACCAGCAATCTATAATTCTAAAATCCACTTCCACTGTAAAGTTCATTTATTTGTCCCACGTAAATAAACTTTCCAACAGGCCTGTCAGAGAAAAGCTGGAAAGGATTCCTTGACATCTTCCAGAAATGGTCCCAAAGTTGGAAGGCGTTCTCTAACAAGCCTTTCGCTGCTGTTATGTTAAAAGTAAAAGCAAAATGGAAATAAAAAGTAAGAAAAATAACAACGTGGTGACACCTGAAAGACTTTTATATAAAAAAATTAGCGTGAGCTTTCGTGGACAAGTCCACTTCGTCAGACAGTGCTCTTATGGTAAGTCAAAACGAGGGCGGTAGAGCATGTTGACCCAAATCTGCCTGGTAGCGATGCCGAATTTGACCACGAAAAAGACAGATCCGGAAAAGGCAACGCGCTAAGCCCCACGCGCGAAAAGGAGAAACGAGTAACTCGATTCTAAACATGGTTCTTCAAAAGTAACGACCTCACTGAGTGGCGCTTATTTACGCCTCTTTTTTTTGAAAGCAAGTCCGGATCAAATCAAGCGTCCTTCCGTGTTTATATACTTTTGTTTAACAGGCCCGTCTGCACCGGGGGAAAGAAGGAGCCGGAGCAACGAGGTTCGGGGACTACTATACTGTACGAGCAAGTAGCCGGGAGTTTCATTACCTTTGCCTCGCGGGACGCGGACATGGCGAGCGCGCGGCGTCTGGGTCACCCACTCGTGCCAGCCGGGGAGCGGCGCCTTCTGCGGGTCCTCCTGCCTGCCTGCCTGCCTCCCGTCCGCTCGACTTGCTCCCGCCCTGGTTCCCCTTCTTCGCCCCGCCCCCTTTTCTTCCCCCCGCCCACTTAGGCGGCGTGAGATTTACATCGTGGCCGCCCCGCCGGAGTTCGCTTTTCCAGCGGTGGCCCAACCCCTCCCACCTCTGGCGCTCGCTCGCGTCCTCCTCGGCGCTGCTGATTGGTGTGGAGCCCCGCGGGTCATTTGCATGCCGCCCGCAATTGGCGTCGCGGACCGAGCAGCCAAAGGAGGAGAAGTTGGCTCGCTGCTTCGGCAAGTGTCTTGCGGCCGCCGGTCGGCGAGAGAGCAAAGCGAGTGGCGGCGGCGGCGGCGGCGGCGGCGTGGATCGGCGGCGTTCTTCGCCCCGCAGCGGTAAGCCGGTCCCGGGACGGTTTCTGGCGTGCAGCCTCTGTCATCCTTGCTGACTCGGGGTCGCCGTCCCTGTCCGGGAAAGGAGGGCTTTCTGCCTCTCTCTCTCTGTCTCTCCTCGTTGCACGGGCTCGGGCCAGCGCTTCGGGACCCCGGCGTTGGGGAGGTGAATGGCACCGGCTGCCGCTTTGAGCTCCCGAAAAAGAGCTCTCGCTCGGCCGGTCTTTCTCTCCCTGCCGGATCCCCCTCTTCCTTACCGCCTCCTGGCCCCAGGATTTTCCATCCTCGCTCCAGGCGGAAAATAAATGATCTCACCCTGACTGTGTGGAATGGAGACAGCTGGCACCCAGAAGAACCTGAAAGATCCCCAGGAGCTCCGGCGCGCCCGGGACTTCCGCTCCCCGGGGGAATAACGAAGAAGCCGCGTCCCCCGCACAAAGGCAGCGAGCGGCCTCTCACCCATCGGCTTCTAACAGCCGCGGGACCGGTCGGGTCGAGCGCAATCGGGGTCTTTTCCCACTCACCCACCCACCCACACACACCCGCTTGGCCGGTGATTCCTGGTGCCCTTGGAGGAGCGGGGCCGTCGGTCGTTCCCTATGGCCGGGCTATTCACCTCTACGCTGAAGACCCTGGAAGACTTAACCCTGCACTCCGGGTATGGGGCAGGGGACTCCTGCCGGTCCCTCAGCCTCTCCTCCTCCCGGTCTAACTCCCAAGCCCTGGCGTCTTCTCAGCACCGGGGCAACTGGTGGTACTACTCGGGCTCCATGAACAGCCGGAAAAACAGCTGGGACACGGTCAACACCGTCCTGCAGGAGGACCCCGAGGTGGCCGACATCTTTTCCAAGTGCGCCAAGCTGCCCGATCTGGAGGAATTCCCTTGGACGGACGAGGACATTGGGAAGATCCTTCGGAAAGGAGGAGGAGGAGGAGGAGCGGGCAAGGGGGACTTCAGCCCCGAAGCCGTGAGGAGGCTGTCCGTCTTGCTCCGGAGACCCTTGATCCGGATCTCCAGGGAGGCGCAGCGGCTGAGCGTGATGCACGCCAAGTGCACGCGCTTTGAGATCCAGAGTGCCATCAAGCTGATCCAGAGCTGGTCCTTGTCGGAAAGCTGCGTCCTGGCCACGGTCAAGGCGCTCTCGCTCTACAGCATGAGCGCCGGGGACGGCCTGAGGAAGGGCAAGTCGGCCCGCTGCGGCCTCACCTTTTCGGTCGGGAGGTTTTTCAGGTGGATGGTGGACACGCGGATCTCGGTGCGCATCCACGAGTACGCGGCCATCTCTCTGACGGCTTGCATGGAGAACCTGGTGGAGGAGATCAAGGGCAGGGTCCTGGCCAGCCAAAGCCCGGATGGAGGCGGAGGGGCGGCGGAGATCTCAGCCGAAGGCCTCGAGGGGGTCATCAACAACGATGCGGAGCTCTGGGGAGTCCTGCAGCCCTACGAGCATCTCATCTGCGGGAAGAACGCCAGTGGTAAGGATCTGGCCCATGTGCCACTCTCTGATCGAAGGCTGGGGTGCTTTCCCGCACCCCTGCAACTCTCCATCAGTGGGCCTGGTCTACAGTCCTACAAAGTATGCTTTCTTGCAGATTTTTTATTTTGTTGTCCTCCTCTATAGGGTGGTGCGGCTTTGTAATGTACTTGTCTTTTAATAGTCTCTCTAGACTGTCCTTGTTAAACTGGTAAGCAGGATATGAATTTCGTCACACTCCTATGTTCAGTTACGTGGGAGTAGCTGTTTCTCAACATAGGATTTATTTCTGAGTAACTCTGGCGCCCTGTAAGAATCAAAATATTAAATGGTATCTAAACAAACCAGAAGTAGAAATAATGCCAGGGTTGTGGCATAATAGAGTCTTAAGTATTATGAAAAATAAGAGTGTTTTATAAATGCTGAATCTCTTTTAGATCTTGAAAATTTGGGCTTTTTGTTGTTGTTGTTGAAAATGCTGTATGGTTTAAACACACACACCCTAGTGAATTCCCACTTGACTCAGTGTGGTGCCCTTTAATTCCAGCTGGGAATGAAGGACAGCCTCAGCTATACTGTACTACTTTTGACACAGTTGCCTCTGTGAAGTCCGGAGAGCAAACTCATGTCTGCTGAAGAAGTCAGCATTCTGGAAAGAGCAAATGTAATAGAACTGCATTTGTTGCCTGGATTGCAGGTAACTCAGGGAAATCTTTGTGCACCGTGCAGACACATACTCATCCAAGCAGTATCATGACTTGCTTCTGGAAACTCCCCTCATTGCAAAAGATTTTCGGTATGCAGCATGACGGATGGGAGTGGGTGTGGCTGCTGTTTGATGAATAAAAACAATAGCTCCCACGGAGGCCTCTGACTGGTAGTTGGGCAATTCTTTTTCCTTTGAAAAGATGGCAAATGCTACTTAATACCTGTCAAACTATATTTCAGTCATAGACTGTGTGAGAAAATAGTAACACATTACCATTAATTCACTAAGCAGGTGATTTTAGGATATTGTTATGTTGTTTAAATAAGTACATAACGATTTCATGTTAGATTACTTCTTTATGCAATCTGATTGACAGGTCCAGCCCTACCATTAGGCAGAGTGAGGTAGCTGTCTCAGGTGGTATATACTAAAGGGAAGGGAATGCCAGCAAACTATCGGACAAGCAGAGCTATATGTCCAAATGTGGCCTGCCATGCATGCTCTCACACACACAAATCTAATTTTCTGCCCTCTGGTTGATGAGGATGCTGTCTCATTTATCAGTGTTGAAGTACCGTATTTTTT